AACTAATAAAGGCATGACAGGACAATGGATGATCTCTCTCTTTTTCCTTGTTATCTTATTAACAAAACAATAATACTCCTTCGTAAATATGAATTATCTGGTCCCAACTGCTGTCCCCTGTTGGTTAGGGGTGAACATTTTTGAATCAACAACCAGTTGGCTTGAAGGTCTGGATTACTTTTTTAGGCATTTTTGTTTGTGACAGGTTTGTGTTAGTGGTCAATTTATATTTATTATTGCCAAAGAGAAATTAAATTAAGTCTATGAAAATTTTAACAGGTGGGGGAGCCACAGTGGGAGTACATTACATGGATCACACAGTGGTCTAATTCATTAACTCATAGAGCAGGCAACACTCTTGATCTCAACTTCACCAATCTCTGTACCACCTCTAATCTCTCCAATGTTCCATTTCCTTTATCTGACCCCATCTGTTGTTCATTGACCCGCAATGAACACAATGAGTTTGTCCTCAGACTGTTGAGGTTTATATTGACTCATAATTACTTCCTCTTTAAAGGCAACTACTATCACCAGGTGAAGGGCACAGCGATGGGTACGACTTGTGCACCATCCTATGCCAACCTTCACCTGGGGTGGTGGGAAAGTAACATTGTCTTCAACCCTAGTCTCGATAAATTTAGCGTACACATAAACCTATGGAAACGCTATATCGATGACATTTTGATAGTGTGGACAGGTCCGATTGATCTATTCCATGAATTCGTGGAAGTACTCAATGTGAATGAGATTAACCTTAAATTCACTTTCGATATAGGAGAGAAAAGACTGAATTTTTTGGACCTAACTCTCGAAATTTCTCATAACAACGATTTCACCACCACGCTTTTCAAAAAACCAACCGCAACCAATAACTTTCTGAACTGGGAGAGTCATCACCCCCCTGCTTTAAAAAGTGGGATACCGACAGGCCAATATCTCAGACTAAGGAGGAATTGTTCCTCCCAAGAAGATTTTAAAATAAAAGCACAGACCCTGAGATCCCTTTTTAAAGCCAAGGGATATCCAAACAAGTGTCTAAAAAGAGCTTATCACAGGGCACTAGCTACCGAAAGGACCAACCTTCTGTCCGAAAAGTCCCCCCCCCCCCAAAACAAAAATCAGGAAATAATAAGATGTATTGGAACCTTTGATTCGGGTTGGGACGGTATGAAAAAAAACACTAGAGAGATTCTGGCCACTACTGTACCAAGATACACATCTTAAAGATGTGCTGACACCCCACGTATCGATTACAGCAAGGAGAGGTCAGAACTTAAAAGATATTTTGGTTCCAAGCCATTTATCTCTCCCAAAACCTACTAACACCTGGCTTAAATCGCCTGCTGCCGGCACCTTTCAGTGCAGCAAGTGTAAGGCCTGTAAATTTATCCGGAAACAATCGAAATCATTCTCTAACTCGGATAATACTGAGATACACACAACTAAAACCTTCTTTAACTGCAAAACCGAGGGCCTAATATACCTCATTACTTGCAGTTGCAATTTGAAATACGTGGGGAAGACTTTCAGACAGTTTAAAACCCGCATCCTTGAACACATAAACTCTGTGAATCCATCTAGACAGATAGATACATCTATATCAAGACATTTGAAAATTAAACATGCCGGCTCTGCACAGGGCTTACGCTTTAATGGAGTAGAAAAAATAAAGTTGGGACCAAGGAAGGGAGATCTGGACAAAAGACTCTTACAGCGAGAGAGCTTCTGGATATTTAAATTAAAAACTTTATCCCCCTTGGGCCTTAACGAAGGATTCTCATACACTCCCTTTATCCCTGATTAAATACCGGTTCTTCCCTAGCAACACTTCATTAATTTACTATTTAATAATTGGAAATTAATCCATCAAAAGAGTAAATACTACTTAGATACATTCAATATGGAAATTTACCCCTGGTATGTCTGTGACTGACCCCTAGTGGCTCAAAGAAGGTATACAGCCCTCATTATTATAGCCTGTCTAGTGGGTATCTTCTGGATACACTTTAATTATACTATATAACTCACTCATTTGAGTAAATTATGTCCAGTAAGATTTACACATGACCGATCACTCTGATCCCATGATGACACATGATCCATTAAAAGTTATATAAATTACTTAAAATTTAATATATCGTATGCTACTTTTCCCCCCATCTCCTATTTATAATACTATACACGCTATTTGGATATATGGACTAGCACAACGTACCAGCCATCTAAATTGACAAATTGAATTGATACTGCCAATGGGAATGGCTGGACAAATTTCGATTACCGAAATACTAATCTCCATTTAGTAAGAATAAGAACTGACGAATTTATCTGCATTATAAAAAGCCTCAATATTTGATTATGTATATCAGAGGCATTTATCACCTAGTATTTATGTAGACACACTGGTATATGAGTATCTGGCAATTTATTTACGAACATCAAGCCATTGATAATACCCGCACATGGGAATTTTGGGTATAAGCTCAGCTACTACTATTTTCACATGACTGCTAAGAACAGTATAGCGGGGGTTAATTCCGCCCGTAAATCGAGAATGAGGCTTGATAATGAAATGATCATTACCCTAATAGGAAGTACAGTTAACCTGACCGCCCATATTTATATAATCCTTATGATATCCTGGGATAGGTATTAGGTCCCCATGGCTGAGCGAGGGTTAAAATCCCTTATTTTCACTTTTTAGAGGTTTTTCGCTCAAAGCCTCTCTACCCATTCTCATGATCCCACAGGCGTCCAGATAACCCATGATGAACCGTCTACTTCTCAAACAATGCCTTGTGATAGCAATACACTGATTTTACATGATATAAATTTCTTGACGAATCATTCGTCTCTGATTATAAAATTTACACAGATATATTCACCTTCGTCCTTTCCCTATTCTATGAAGCAAGTCACTCCATCCAATGAGTACATACAGGGTTAAATATAAACCACACAATGTAGAGGTGGACTTAACCCTGATTGGAGTTTTCTTCCTTTTTTTTTTTTTCTTTATTTAAACAGCGAATTAGCATATTCTGACGTCATTTTGGCGCCAACTGACGGTCCACACAGGAACCCTGATTGGTGGAATCCTCTCAACAGTTACAATACCAGGGGTATTTAAACAAGGTCTAGGGTCCATAACGAATTCAGCCCCTGACGAAGGTGCATCACAGCACCGAAACGCGCGTCGGGTTGAAGGAGGTTTTTCTCCTTCACTTTCACTCACTTTTTATTTTCACTTCTAGGGCACTATTTCACGATGTGTAGGTAACCAGCACTCTAAGCATGGTTCTACACATTAGCACTATTATTTCCTAATTTTTCACCTTTTCCTCCTGTCACTCCTGATATGCTATCTAGATTGGAATTATCTATTTGATTGAGGAATCTGGACTGGCTCTGTATGTATTTGAGGGGGCAACAGATACTCTTTGTACCCCATAGCGATTTAGGAAACCACTAACTTAAGATTTATCATTTATGACATATTTTGTGATTAATCTACAAATTTTCATGTAGACTTTTTTCCTTTTATTATATGTTACTTGGTATCCAGCTAAATGCTGTTATCCCTAATTGCTGATTGCTTAACTACACTCTTATTGTAGCTTTTTTGATACAGCGGGCTTTGCTACAAGTGTTACTTTATATACAGCCACTATTCAAAGTTCCTCTTTGACTGATTGTCTTTTCCATCTAGATTACAGGAGTTAATTTAAAGGCTCATTCCACAACCGCTTTTACTGTTGACATGGACATACTATGGTTGATTATATTAAAGTCCTGAGTCTCAAATAGATTCTTTACGTCTAAGAGTCCTTTAGACAGGAGAAGAGCCATTTAGGCTATTTTAATCACTTGAATCTACGTATGAACCCTCTCTATATTCCGACATATTGATGGCAATTTTGATTTAATTATCTATTATCTACTAATATTTTGTCCAGCTGACAGTCCTGGTTCTGGTTTCAGTGACCAGTAACAGGAAAGTCATTTTCTAGTACTTCCATTTTGGGGTTATGCCCCTTGACACCACTGGAGTGTCATTTAAAGGTGTGACTGACCACTAGGAGGGTGGTATATTCAAGTCTGGAATAACCACTACCTTTGGCCTAGTCAATTTCTACTACTTTTTTTGTTAAATTGGTTTCAGTACCATATCACCTTTTAAGTGTTGCCTGGTTATGGCCGGTTTTCTATCAGATAAAACGTCAAGGGATGCCTGGTACTCTGACATAGACTCAGTCTTCTCTGAGGGGCACCTGCAAGAGAATATCACTCATACAAATATAAAC